TTAAATAATATTATAAATATAACATTTTTGATTTTAAATACCATTTCAACATCCCAATGAACCTAAAATTAGGAAATTCAATGTCATTTTGTAAAAGAAAATTTTTTGAAAACAACGGAAGAGGATCAAAATGTTAAAAAAATCCTTTCCTCTCACCAGCTTTGAGAATCTGTTCACATGCGATCCCTCTAAAGCTTGGAGGAAGGAAATGAAAATGTATTAATTTAACCTGTAAATAATATTTGTACCATATACATCAAGAACATCTAGATTGATAGAGGCGAACGGTGTCTATTTTCTTTCCTTTCTCGGTTAGCTTTAGAGCAGATACAGAGGGGCTCTGTTCCATGGTCCCTACAGTGAATTGGTCGAAGTTTTATCACCCTGGGTAATTTTGAGATCCAGATTATCTGCTAAGTTCCTGCCTATTATTAATATTTTGTTCATTCATTCTCTAGAACTCTCTTTCTCTATTTGTTTGAATTTTTTTTAAAAATGTAATTTATATTAAAAGTTGTAACAAATTACATAATTTAAAATCATAAAATGAGAATTGACTTTTAAATTTCGTTTAATAATATTTTTTCATACTTCATTTTTTAGTTTTTATGTATTTTTATTATTTTAATAATATATAAAATGTTAATTAAAATAAATATTAAATATATAAAATATATTTTATATACTTTTATGGTGTTAAAAAACTAAAAAATCCATAATTATAGTTACAAATCAGTGTTATTGAACTAAATCATAATATCATAATTTATATTTTTTAATTTAGTATGATCTCAACTATAAAATTAATTTTTTTTTTAATTATCTGGATTTTTGGGGAAACGTTGCTTCTTAGCCGGGGTTTCACGAAATGTGGGTTGGACTATTGGAGTATCGTGGAGGCCCATACGGTGACGTCGGAAACCAAGATTTTTGGGTCTCAGTATCAGTGATCCAGCACATCACAGCACATTCGTTTACGGAAACATTGCTCAGACCCAGCCCAACATCTATACCCTTTTACTTTCTTCGTCTCCAGTACCGATGTTGCGAAGAAAAGAACACTCACCGGAGAGGCGGAGATTCATGGCGGTGGCACGGCTGATACGACCTCTAAGGCAATGACCACAAGTGCAGAACCGTTACTGCACTCTCACAGTGCTCGATGACCTCCTATTCTCATCCTTACTGGTCACGGTAGCTACTAAAGTCACCTTGCATTCTTTCTCTTGCGCGACGTCTACTTCCTCTCGCCGGAACGTCCGTCACCGTCGCGCGGACTCTGATTGCCTAATTCTCCTACGGCTCCTAATCTCCAAAAGGAAGATGGCGAGACCAGTGATTCGGATAACGATGTGAAGAAAAACCGTAACCAGAAGAAGCGCGAGGCCCGGCGCGCCGTCCGTTGGGGCACGGACATCGCCTCCTTCTCAACTCCCCAAATCAAACGCATACTCAGGTACAATCAGAATCATACTTCCATTTTTTCCGAATAACAGCAAATTTATTTTCCCGCCGGCCATAACTTTTTATGATTTGTATGGATTTGCGGAGTGGCGGCTCTCGAACAAGAAGTATTGGACGCTTTAATGTTAGTGAAGGTGCTTCTTAGAACTTAGAAATTCAGTTGTTAGTTGCAAAATTTTGCATTTTTCCGAGCATTATTTGGTGTTTTGTTGTTGAAGATAAGGTGTTTGTATTTTTGCCGCAGAGACTCGGGCCGGATGTTCGAGAAGGAAAGCGTAGGCAGTTCAATTATATTGGTAAGAAAATCTGCTTAATTTAACATAAAGCTTATCTCTTGATTCATATGTATTTAGGAACCTCCACTAAAATCTGAAGTTGTTATTAAGAAGTTCTCAATCTCAATGTTATTTTATGATTCCTTAGTTCCTAAGTTTAGGGATTGTCATGAATGTGATTCTAATTTGTGTGCCAAATCATTGTTAGGGAAACTGCTGCGAGAAGTAGAACCTGAATTAATGGATACTTAGATTCAAGCTACGAAAGTTGGTGATCAGAAAACACTGCAGCATCTAGTTAGTTTGCAGCTGCAAATCATGGAAGATGAGGATCATGATGAAGAATCTGAAAGTGAGGATGAAGATCAGGTAGATAGAAATTTTTGTTTACAACATGTAGCAAGATTCAAGTTTTGAGTTATATATCATGTAACACTAGAGAATTAGAATTGTTATTATCATATCTGAGGATGGTTTTCATTGAACTTGTTTGATCATTGTTTTCAGGTATCACAAGCTCACACCAATATTGCAAGTAGATGGTTTGATGGCTTGATCAGTAAGGACATAACAATTACAAATGAAGTTTATTCGATTAACAGCATTGATTTTGATCGACAGGTAATTAGAATAATGATAATAAGTTATTGATATTGCAGTCTCTCTGCTTCCGGAAAAAGAAGAAAGGGTACCTAGATATTAGAAAGAGTTCGGACTTATGCATAGGAATTCATCTAAGCATTTTAGCTTTGACTCATTTGTTTAGAATCCCAACTTATGTTTCTCGTCTAAATTTGTCCCAATTGAAGTAAATGTGTAATTAAATTATGTTTTGATCTTTTATTTATTTCTTTCACTTCGGTATATTTAATAGGAACTACGCAAACTTGTACGTAGAGTACACGCGATGAAGGACAAAAGACAAGGTGTTACAGAGGAAAATGATGGGGCGCAAATGGATGCAGAAATAATGGGTGCCAAAAAGTCCCTCACCCGTTTCCTTAGAGCCATTGCAAGGCAATTACCAAATGAATAACATCTGATTACTTGTAACATTGTCATTCTTCTGTGCAATAAGTTAATATTGTTGACCTAGGCATATGATTCAAGCGTAGCCAATTAAAAATTTATTTATATTTATACCAAGAACTTCGTAACTTCCAGCAAGTATTACTAATCATCAAAAAAATATTTTAAAATGTATTTATAGTTAATTATTACTATAAAAATTTATAATTAATAAAAAAATTTTAAAAGATACAAACCGTGAGAAGCGTGGCTTGAGATCTATTTTATATATGCATATATATATATATATAGTAGAAATTTATTTATA